GGCTGAGTCTGGGGACGGAGCACAGAACCTGCCCAGGCCAGACCCTGCTGGTCTGGTTGCAATCGAAGCGCAGGGAGAGCTGCTGAAAGATGTCGGCAGCCATACTGGTCGGGTGGCTGAAGGAGGCAGGGTCTCTGGGAAGAAGCCTAAGAACCCTGGGCCCACACCAGGGCTGTGATAGAGCTCAGGTGGGGGGCAGCGTATGCAGTTTGCCTGGAGGGCTGAGTCCCTGAAGACGCACTGAGAGAACCACTGGCTACAGGATGCTCACGAGAGTGGGTGTCAGGCCATTGGAAGAATAAAACTAGAGCAGGCTCCCAGCCAGCCAGCCAAGAGGGCGTGTCCCACGAGAGGTGAGGGCTGCCCGGTGAAAACAGCTGTACCTGCAAAGGGGGAGCTCACAAGAGGCGGGTCCTGACCCCGCTGCAACCATTCCAGTTCGTGACATCAGAACACAGAACACAACCAAACGAACACACATGCCAAACACCGTGTCAATCAGAATAGCAAGAAATGAGCCTTTTGGGAGCCCCCAGGCCACTGGTAGGTTGAGGATTCCATCCCCTAGCCCCTAAAATCGACACTCACCAACTGAGCCACTTTCCCCGCCACCCACGTCTCATGTCCCTCAGATGCTGCCACACCAGTGCGGACGCTGCCGTCGCCCATTTCCTACAAAATCCTCCCGCGCAGCAGCTGTCGGGCAGCCGTGGGAGCCACGGACCGGCCAAAGCAACGATCAAGTGACCAGACGGTCTCGAGTGAAGTATCTGAAGCGATACCAAGGGACACACAGGACTAGCCACTCCCGGGTCTCCTGCCTGAGAGACACAGTTAGTGCTACAACACGGAGCCACAGGAAATAGCCTGCACTCCGGGGGTCCGCCCCGAGGGGGTGGAGAAAGGGAGGTCTGTACAATCTTCATCCCTCTGTGCCAGCCCCGGTCAGAACTTCGATGTGGAGAGAGCCCGCCGCCCCCTCGCGCCAGCCAGCAGGGCAAGATCTCTAGAAGAGTAGCAAAGTGGCTCTTTGCAAAGCCTGTGGGCAGACCGAACATGGCCGGGCACAAGGCCAGGGTGGTGCCGGATTACCCCAAGCGCGTGGTGGCAGAGAGGCTGCGTTCACTGGTGAAGAGCCCTCGCCACAGGGACGGATGCGGATGCTGCGTTTCCCTCCATGCCACTTTCCCCTTCCAAAGGAGGGCAAGAGGCGCCGTTTGGCCTCAGCCGAAGAGGCTGGGACGACACGACAGCAAAAGGCCTCTGCAGAAGATACAGGCAGGAAGAGGAGACACTAGCGCGTGGTGGCAGAGAGGCTGCGTTCACTGGTGAAGAGCCCTCGCCACAGGGACGGATGCGGATGCTGCGTTTCCCTCCATGCCACTTTCCCCTTCCAAAGGAGGGCAAGAGGCGCCGTTTGGCCTCAGCCGAAGAGGCTGGGACGACACGACAGCAAAAGGCCTCTGCAGAAGATACAGGCAGGAAGAGGAGACACTGAAACAACTTTACCAGCTCGGTCACGGCAGTGTGGGCACCCAGCTCCCAGGCCAGCAACAAACAAATCCACTGGCCTGTCTGTCCCCCCCCTTCTATTGCCGAGCTGGCTGGGGCAGGAGGGGGAAACGGGGTGGGGGGGAGAATTTCACCTCAGACTGATGTCTCACCCTCCCGGCCTGCGCCCCGACTTGGGAAGCAGCTGTGGGCCCCAGCTGCTGCTTTTAGCAGGCAGAAGTGTCACGCTATGGACTCCCCTGATTCAGTGCACCGAGGCTATGCCCCCCATGCACCCCCAGAGCACTAATGCACTAGGAGCCTCTCTCCCACCCCCACTATGGCTCCGGTGCCCTGGAACCATCTACCCCGCATGGCTCCGGTGCACTGAAAGCACGTCCACCTCCGGGATCCTGACTCCAAGCAAATTGCCTCACTAGAGCCAGGGACCTTTTACTCCCGTGGATTGGCAAGGACCCAGAGAAAACAAAAAATCACTTTTATCTGAGACTCTTCTTCCTGTAACTTCTCCAGCTCCCCCTCACCCTTTTTTAAACCCTCCCCTTCCTGCCTGACCATTTTACTTTCCTTCATCCCCTCCTCACTTTGTAGGGTCTGGGTTTATGGCACATCTGACACTACTGGATCCATTTGCCTTTAGAGAGCACTTAGGAAGTGCCAGGTCTAAACCATGTAATGAAGATCTCAGGTAAGGAATGAATCTTTAAAATTCTCCAGCCCCCCCCCCCCAAAAAAAAAAAAATAATAATAATCCAAATCTGATCTTCTAACATCCTGTCCAGGAATAATAATTATTGCTGGTTATGATTCACCACTTACTGAGACGGTGCTAGTCTAAGAGTAACAGGGTTTTCTCAATAATATTTGTCCAGGTGCTTTTCCTTAGCTTTGTTTCTGTTCAGCAAGCTGTAATACATGTTGTTTTGATGTATGCAGCTGAAACAACTAGTGGGCCATGGTGTTTGCACCGTAACGGACAAGGCTCTAGGAAGCAAAATTTAGGCAGAAATGATCTGCCAGTGAACCCGTCTCTGCAGTTTATCCAGGAAGGTTAGAAGAGGGTTATTTAAAGAACGTGTATAACTTTGCATAGGGCCACTCCAGACTGCTCTGTAGAGGCTAGCCTTCTCCCTTCTTTTGTGGCTGTTCTGAATAGACAGAAAGCCTCAGAGGAGCAACGGGCCAGGCTGGCCCTAGAAGTCTGGGAAAGATACCTGGGCCTGAGGACCTGCCAACAGAATTTTGTCAAAGCCTCAGAGACATTCTGGCCACAATGCTACTGAAACATTTACAGAGCCACCTTCAAAACAAGTCCCTCCTGCTGAGCTGGAAACCTGACTTGCTGCACTGCTGCCATGGGGACAGGGTGACACATACAGACCCCTCTCGTCAATCAGCACAGATCTAAAAATACAGGCGGCCCCGCTATCAATCGGCCCGGAATACATCCATTCCACACTAAAGTCGCTGACGCTCGTAGGAACTGATGCGTTCTAAGTCCTCCCGTTCCCTGCTATAAGTCATGCAAAACACTCCCCCCAATTTGCTTAAATGGAAGTCAGCCACGGGAAAAAATTCCCCGCTTAAAGTTGTTTCGCTATAAGTCCAAGCTTTTTGGAACGTATCTGGGACTTACAGCGAGGACCCTCTGTGCTCCCAAAGACTTGGCCATGACGCCCCCAACTGGGAGGAGGGACAGGAGTGAAACCGATTTTAGCCACTGCTCCCAGCTGCGCCCTTACATGCTCCAGCAGCAAGCCACAGGCGTAGAGTGCTTTCGACCCCCGATCGAAACAGGTGCCACTCCAAGCTCGGGGACCTGGTTCGCCAAGTGCTAACTTAACCCCAGGCCCCGGGTCACGCACACAGGTTTTGGGCAGACCTGAAGGGCACAATTAAGCAAACCTGCTACAACCGAACAAGGAGCTGAGCCAAGCTGGGAGTGGTGGCTCAGCAGAGCACCGAGCCCCACTCGGCCTGGCACTGCCAAGGGGGGAGTGCCCGGGGCGACTGGCTGAGCAAGGCAGGGTGGGGACTAGTGTGGAAAGCCCCCCATGCACCATGACACCCCAGCCGGGCATCCTGCTGGGCGCTGAGCAAGCATATTGCACCCTGGGATTGCTGGTGTGTCCGGGGCCCTGCCCACGAGCTTGGCCTGGCCCGGCAGGGGCTGCACAGCCGCTACCACCCCGCGACTGCCCCGCCCACTCACCTGGCGGCCAGCAGCCCGCCATGCTCCGCCCACCGCCGCTGTGTCCTCGTCGCCAGGGCAACCGCAGGGGCCTTGCGCATTCCGAGCCAGGTGTGGGGGGGTCTCATGCTGCTGGACTGGGGGGTGGCTCGAGGGCCTCCAGCTCCCCTCCCCCAGGTGGGCCTGGCACTGCCAGCTGCCCCAGCCCCACACAGCTGCTCTGCGGGGGGCACAGAGGTGCCCCCTGCACGGTGCCAGCCCACAGCCCAGGGACTGCTCAAACCCGACTAGCAAGGGCAGCGTTAGCCAGGGGCCAGCATCTCCCAGAGCCAGGCCCCCGGGGACTGGGCTGGCGAATCCAGGAAACAGGGATTTGGGGCCCATCCCCCATGTTACGGAAGGGCGCTTTGAGGCGCTTAGCAATGCAGCCGGGGGCAGGGCCTGATACAGGAGTGGCGGGGCGGCTCTGTGGCCTGCCTCGTGCAGGGGGTCAGCTGGACGATCGGGATGTCCCTCCGGGGGCCAGGTCTCCGAGTCTAGCAGTGAATTCGAGCAGCGCAGGGCTGGGCTCCGCAGCAGTTCGGCAGGACAAGCCGCGGG